CTCTGGCCTCACCTAATTAATTCCACAAACATTTCTACTATTGGGTTGCTACTATTACAAAGGGATAGTCAAGATATAAATATAAAAGTCTTCTAGTATTTTCTCTGATCCAATTGTAACAGGAGACATAGAATACTCAAAAGAAATTAATGACAGCCAAATGCATGATACAACTGATATGGGCAGAAGACTGGGACCAGAAGCCAAGGTCCACTGATCCATTGAGATGCCCAACTTCAGATCACATTAAAGAACAGGCTGGCCTCCCTCCTCAGACCATGATGCTCAAGTGGCAGAGCATAGGCCAAGTCTACAGCAAAAAGAGACAGATATTCTCAGCTCATACAACCTTCTGATAGATTCACAGGCCTCTCCTGTAATTTCACATATGACCTGTTAAATCCATGGATGCCATCTTACCATACAGGGCCAAAAAGGACCCAGACCTGCTAATACTTCGGTTTTGTTCAGTTTCCCCCAATCAAAGCATACCAGAATATCTACCATAGGGCTGTCTGTCACACAACCATGTACAACACTAACATGAACACAACACCACACTGCAAAGTTTTTTGCGTCCTAATTTTGCATCACCTCCTTTGCTCCTCCCAACAATCCTCCTTGGAGCCAAGTGGGTGCTATTATCACCTCCAGTTTAGAAAAAAAAAAAAAAAAAGCATAGAGATATTCGATAATTTGGTTTAATGCCATACACTTAATTGTAGCCATAAGTTTTCTCCTGTCCTGCCCATCCCCACAGCCGCTTATAAAATAATCACTCAGAGATTTACATTAATGACAAACTGTATGGCCAATGGCTTAAGTTTCTGGCTAGCTCTATCATCTTAAATTAACCCATTTCTATTAATCTATGTTTTGCCACATGGCTGTGGTATATTACCAGTATGCTGGCATGTTGCTCCTTGGGTGGCAGGCAGGCGTCTCTCCTGCCTCTGCCTTTTGTCTTCCTGTATCTCTCTTGGATTTCCTGCCTGGCTATAACCTGATTCGTGATAGTCCAGAGCAGATTCTTTATTAACCAATCATAGCAACACATATTCACAGTGTACAGAAAGACATCCCACAGTACTTCCCCTTTTCTGTCTACTTGTTCTTTTTACAATTGAATTCTACTACCAGCAGGATGTAACCCAAAGGGTACTGAGAGGAACAAAATCTGGCAGATGAGTGTGTTTTATTTTGTAGAATTTGGAAAATTGAAATATGTACACCATTGATACCTATTCAGGATTTTAATAGGCAACTGCTCTGAATTCTAAAAAGACTGATTCTGTAATCACACATTTGCTAGAAGTTATGGCCATCATGGGTATACCTGTACAAATTAAAACTGACAATGCTCCAGCATTATGTCTCTGGTAAAATGAAACCGTTTTTTGCTTATTACACTATAAAGCATATTACAGATATACCACACAATCCTACAGGCCAAGCAGTCATAGAAAGATCAACTCAAACTCTAAAGGATATGCTAAATAAACAGAAAGGGGTAACAAAAACCCCCAGAAATAGATTACATAATGCTCTATTAACTCTGAATTTTCTCAGTGCTAATGACAAAGGAACACAGCTGTGGAGAGATATTGGATAATAGAAAAAAAACCTACAGAATTAAATCAGCCTGTATACTTTAAAGATGCACTGACCTCAGAATGAAAACCAAGATATATACTACGCTGGGGATGAGGTTTTGCTTTTGCCCACCCCCCACACCCCAGCTGAGGATCGAACCCAGGGCCTTGCGCTTACTAGGCAAGCACTCTACCACTGAGCTAAATCCCTAACCCTTGATTTTGTTTCTACAGGAGAAAAAAAGCTATAAATACCATCAAAATTGATAAATTTGGGGGGGGGGGGTTTCAAGACAGGGTTTCTCTGTGTAGCCTTGCGCCTTTCCTGGAACTCACTCTGTAGCCCAGCCTGGCTTCAAACTCAGAGATCCGCCTGGCTCTGCCTCACGAGTGCTGGGATTAAAGGCATGCGTCACCACCACCCAGCTAAAACTTTTCTTAAGGTATGAATTGTATATCAGAATTTATAAGCCAGGGCAGTGGTGGCACACTCCTTTAATCCCAGCACTCGGGAGGCAGAGGCATATATATATATATATATATTTATATATATATATATAAATATAAAACTTCTGTCATAATATTAGTGATCATATAGAATATTAACTAATCCTAAAAAAAAGGCTTCACCTAGCTTCCTGTACATGATTTTGGGTTTGAGTCTCCATCAGTTTTCTGCAGTGAACCATGACCATGGCTAACAGAGACTTTGAAGTCTCTAAAAAGATGATGGGGCCCCACAATGACGATTCCATCAGGACGATGATTATACCACTAAGATGATAAACACCACCCAAAGATTGTCTTTGGACTACAAACTGCTCAGGATAATTTCGAGGTGGCTAGTTGAGATGATCCAGCCTCACAGACTACTCAAGCAAGGACTTCAGACAAGCCCTTCACTTTTGCATTATGCAGAGACTGGACAACAAATGATACCACTACCTCTCCTAGGACTTGACAATTAACCCAAAATTTTTCTTTTCGGGATCCCCTAAAGATACCTTCACACCCCACCCCACCCCCGCCCAGACAGCAGGAAGTAATTTTAAGAACATGACACCCACATTTCCAAGAGGTGGGGTGGGTGGTTTTTTTGTCTCAATGGGTTATAGATAATTGTCATTGTTCAGGATGGTTGGTTACAAATTGTTAATTGATAATGGTCAGGGAAAAAAAGCTAAACAAAGAGATTAGATTCGGTGTTCTTGTTTGAAGAAACATGGAAAAAGAGGATATAGATAAAAGGTAGATTATTGAATCTAGTCTTTAAAAATAAAGATATAGAAATAATAGGATAAAAGGGTAGATTATTGAATCTACTCTGAAAAGAAAAAAGAGAGGATATAGATAAGATAAAAAAAGTAGATTATTGAATCTACTTTTAAAAGATAACTACTAGTTTTAAATTGGATTGGATTTTTGTATATTGTATATAAATTATGTATATTGATATAAATTTCAGATTGATTTTGTTAGAAAATACTATACATAGATTTCTAATTCCGTTCAAGGTATTGTACCTATACAGTTCATTTAACAAGGCAATGCAATTTTCTAGTCCTTGAAAGTTATTACTAACTAAAATGCAGGTTAGTAGTTAGTCATTACAATCAAACTTGTAGTTATATTAGGTATGTTTTCAAGGTCAAACAGAAATATATTTTAGATAGGTCATCTTCAAATACTTCAGAGATCTACAGAATATGGCATTTAAGATGTTTTAATGACATAGATTTTTTTTTCTTTTTTTATGACAATGAGACATATCTGCTCCTGGCAGCACCAATCTACTTCAGAGAAGTTGATGGGCATTGAAGAAACTCCTTATGGAGTTTACTTTCATTGTGACAAAAGTTAACCACTGGGCAAGAAAGTGCCCTTACCTCAACTGCTGACAGTATGTTGTCCAGAATGGACAAGCAGTACACAAAAGAAAGGACTGCCAATCCTTGCCAAGACAAGGTAGGAAGACCCTTTAGAAAATCCTGCTTCACAGATGAATCTGTCAGATATGCTAGGCCTATAGGCCGAAGATGGATGCCCCAACATTGCAGAGGAACCTTGGGTGACTGTCCAGGCAGCCAGCTGTTTCTGTCATTTCTCACATTTGTTGGAAGTCGCTTGTTTGCACTTCCTCCTTACTCAGTCAATATTACTTCCTTCTCAGGTCTCTGAGATAGTTGAAGATTAGATAGTTATAGTTTTCCTTGTTAACAAATTCAGAACAGAAACTCATTAAAGAGGTATAAAGTGTATAAGTTTGAAAGACACCAAAAGATAGTTTGGGGTCGGTAATATAAGTTATGATAGAAAGTGAATTAGGTACATTTTGGACTCACCAAAATAGGATACATAATGGAGTATTTTCACTGAATTTGTCAAATGCAAATGGACTAGACATTGTTGATCTAATTCTTGACTGTATATATTAAATATAGTTATTGTACTTATTGTATATAGTTTTTCTTATATTAGTTATAACCTTCTTTTATTATTTTAGATTAAAAAAAACGGGGGAAATGTGGTGATATATTGTGTACTCCAATAAAACTTGCCTGGGTATCAGAGGACAAAGCTAGGTACTATATTAAACATAGTGGTCAGGCAGTGGTAACACATGACTTTAATCCTAGTATTTGAGAGGCAGAGATCCATCTGGATCTCTGTGAGTTCAAGGTCACACTGGGAACAGAGCCAGGTGTGGTGGCACACACCTTTAATCCAGCACTAGGAAGGAAGGAAGATGGCAGGGCACAGAAAGGTATACAAGGCGTGAGTAAACAAGAAGTCTCTCTTTTGAGGATGAGAATTTCGTAGAGGTAAGAATGTGGCTGGCTTGTTCTGTTTCTCTGATCTTTCAGCTTTCACCCCAATATCTGGCTCTGAGTTTTGTTTTGTTTTGTTTTTAATTATTATTATTAATAAGGTCATTCAGCAATTTGTGTTACACTTAATAACTTATTCTAAACCAAACAGTGTGAGTCCAGAGTCTAAGTCCTTAGTTTCTCTTCTCTATTGATATGGTTTGAATGTGCAATGTCCCCCATAGGACCACATGTCTGCACACTTGGTCTCCAGCTGGTGGTATCATTTTGAAAAGTTGTGGAAGCTTTAGGAGGTAGAGCCTTGCTAGAGGAAATGGTTCTCTGGAGGTGAGCCTTGAGGTTCTAAAGCCCAGCCCTACTTCCAGTCTACTCTCTCCTTCCTAACATATGGAAGCAATGTGACCAGCCACCTCACATTCCTGCCAGACTGCCATCCCTTCCCTGACATGCCATGATGGACTTTATTCCCTCAAACTGTAAATCACAATAAACTCTTCCTCCCATAAGTTACATCTTGTCAGATGTTTGGCAACAGCAACAAGGAAAGTAACTGATACATCAACCCTCTCGGAACACTCACGTCTTCTTCTGAAATTCTGGACGCCTGCTCTTTTATCTGTTGATGCCACCACTTCTCAACATCCTTTCTTGTCTGCAGTGTGTACTCCTTCGTCCACTTCCCTGTAGCACTGTAAATACTTCTGGCACACCCTGGAATTATTCTTCTTTCCCATTGGATGACAGGTGGCCCACAAATGAGCTGCCTTCTCAGAGGAGAGGCATAAAAACTCAGCCTCTGATAAGCTGACGCCATTCTTCAGGAGGGAAGACCCTAGAAAAGAGGCCAGAGGAACATGATATGCACCACTCAGAACTCTCTCAAGATTAGTCTTAAGGCCCAGCATTTATTGCCTGTTCATATACTTTCTCTTCTTCTTTTGATAATCATTTCCTAACAGAACAATTTAGAAGTTATGTTGAATTAGATACAAACTTTTTATTGGAAAACATAAAGGCAATCCCTGCCCCAAATACCAAAGATACAAAACCCTCACAGAAACAAAGGGAGTCCATCACAAAGGCCAGTTGCTACAGAACTTGCAGTCGGCATGGGAGGTGATGGAGCTCCTCCCTCCAGAGTCTACCTAGCCTATCAACTGCTGTCTGTCTGAACCCAGAAGAGCTCTAAGCACATCTTGTCTTAGCCTTGAACTCAAATACCAGAAGGGATCTGAACACATCTCCCAGAAGGACCAGAAATTCTGAACTAAGTTAACATTTTTCACATATATATAGTGAGTTAAACAGACCTTTATAGACTAAGCCAGGAAATAGCCATTATTTCAAAAACTAGTAATTACTTGTTTCTTCATTTGCCAAAAACGTATTGAATGATCATGTCCACACACTGTTCCAAGCACTACAGACATAGCAACAAAGAGTCTCAGGCAGAAAAGACAGAGTATATGCTTAGTATGGGCAAAGCCCTGGGTTCCATCCCTAGCAGGCAAAAACAAAAGACAAAGTGCTGTCTTACACAGCAACTAAACATACAGAGAATCAGATAAGACACAAATAAACGTATAACATAGCATGCAGCAGTGCTGTCATATAACTCTTTGGATTACAACACTGTGTGAAATTTTAATTCTGATACATCACTGGTTTCCTCCTCAGGTGAATGGCAGAAATGACTTTGATGAAAAACTTTCCTAATCTACCTCTCTTAAGGGGCTGAGGTAAGATTTCATCAAACATTTAAGATTAGTACTAAACATCCTAAACTTTATGCCTTTTTGTATAATAGAAAGACCTTTCAAAGACAAGAGAGACATAAGGAAACCTGGCATTCCAAACTGGTGTTAATCATCTGATTCTCTCAAAATCCTTCCCGTATCTACTAGGGTTTGGACTGTCACACGAAGGCACTGGGTCAAATGTTCCAGGAAGGTTACTATGGGCTCTAAAAGAGGAATTCACACTCACATAACATGGTACTATAGCACTGGCATTGTTATAAGTTGATCTGCCCAAGTTCTTGTCATACCAGTTTCCATTATTTTTAATATTTCTTACTCTTTTAGGGCTGAAATGGGTGACAGACTGGAGCAGGGAATATTCCTCTATCAGTTGGGCTTGGGTATTTTAAAATAGGTAAATATGACTACTTAGGAATCAGAGTAAACTACATAAAGCTGGCTATTAGCAATTCTATATGGCCAACTTTATATAAGGAGGACAATTACATTTCTTTTTAGGGTTTAGACTTCTATATGATTAGAACTATCTATGTGAGTCAGAGATTCTATGGTTTTCTTCTAATTTTGGTTGTGAACCTATTCTTTAACAGCTGAGCCATCTCTCCAGCCCTATTTTATATTCTGGAACCACTACAAGCCAAAGACTCTCATTAACAGAAGGCACCTAGACAGATAACTGACATTTCTTTCCTAGATGGCACATAAGCAGAGTATATGGACTATTCTCTTTCATAAATAGGAATAGTATAATAAAATACAAATTGACCTGAACCGCTGTTTGCTATATTTTGAGATTTGATGATTATTACCCATCATGATGGATAAAATGCCAATGAGTAATCTCCAACAGGAACAATATGAATGCAGAATAACTCCCTGCTGAATGAACAATGAGCTTTGCATTCTATCAAGCTCTCTAATAACTTCTCCTTTGCTTAAATCAATGAACTAGAAAACATTAAAACAGATCTAAGTATATACAAGGATTTAATGTAGCATGAATCTTAAAAGTTCTTATTAATAAAATCAAATCCGGGAGCCAGGTATTGGGGTGAATGCTGGAAGATCAGAGAAGGTGAACAAGCCACAGCCACCTCACCTCGCCAATTCCTCAGCTGATCCTGTTTCCTCAGACTGGAAACTTCTGAGTCCTCATCCAAATGGATCTCAGCTGAACTGCTACTCAAAAGCCTCAAGCTTAACCAGGCTCTAGTTCCTCGTCCTCAAGCCTTAAATACCTTTCTGCTTCCTGCCATCACATCCTGGGATTAAAGGCTGTTGTTACCACTCCTGGCTGTTTCCAGTGTGGCCTTGAACTCACAGAGATCCAGGCGGATCTCTGCCTCTGGAATGCTAGAATTAAAGGCATGTGTGTGCCACCATTTTCTGGCCTCTATATCTAGTGGCTGCTCTATTCTCTGACCCCAGATAAGTTTATTAGGGTGCACAATATTTTGGGGAACATAATATCACCACAATTTAAAGCTCACAATGAGAACTGGTGAAATGGCTCAGCTGGTAAAGGCTCCTGCCACCAAACCTGACAACCCAAGTTTAATCCCTGGGACCCATATGATGGAGAAGAGAACCAATTCCTGAAAGCTGTGTCCATGGCACACATGCCCACCAATAAATAAATGTAATTAAAGTTCATTGAGAAAAATCCCATGCAGATTAGGAAGTAATAGGGAACTATTTCTGTGGCTTAGGTAGCTCAGTGGGTAAAGTGCTTGCCGTATAAGCATGAGAACCCAAATTCAAATCCCCAGCACCCATAGAAAAATCCCTACAGGTATGACAGCACATATGATTGTATCCCCAGCACTGGGGGATGGGATTTGTGGAAATAGGAGGACCCCCAGAGCCTGCTGACCAGCCAAGTTAGCCAATCACTAAGCTCCAGTTTTAGTGAGAGACCCTGTTGCAAAAACTAATGTAGAGAGAGATAAAAGACACCTAACACTGAGGGTTGGAGAGATGGCTGGTTGTAGAAGAGCGCTTACAGCTCCTACAGATCCTATAGAGCACTGACAGGGTAGCTCACAACCATCTACAACTCCAGTTCAAGGGATCCAATGTCTCTTCTGACTTCCAAGGGTTCCTGCACACGTATGATACAGAGATATATACTCATGCACATGCATGTACACATTAATGAAATAATATACATAAAATTAATAATTAAAATTTTTAAAACCCTAATATTGACCTCTGGACTCCATATGTGTGCATGCACATCTGTACATCAAAAAAATAAAAAATAACAGGATCTCACTCTATAGCCCAGGCTGTCCTCCAATTCTCTATTCTTTTGACTCAGCCTCCTCAGTGCTGGGATTACATGTGTGCCATCACAGCTCGCTTTGAAAATGACTAATTTCAATGTATTTGAGAAAATTTTAAATTAAAGCTCCACCTCAAACCATAAACTGGCATAAATCACAATGTTTTAGGGGGAAGTGGGAATCTGAGACAGGGTTTCATATAGCCCAGGCTGACCTTGAACTAGTCTTGCAGATAGGGATGACCTTGAATAGGCCCCATAGCCTCTGCCTCCCAAATGTTATGCTTATAGGCACCACACATCATCAAACTCAGATAATAAGAATTTTTTTATTTATTTATGTATTAAGTATACTGTGTTCTACTTTCATGCCTGCAGGCCATAAGAGGGTACAGATCTCATTACAGATGGTGGTAAGCCACCATGTGGTTGCTGGGAATTGAACTCAGGACCTCTAGAAGAGCAGCTAGTGCTCTTAACTGCTGAGCCATTTCTCCAGCCCCATAAGAATTTTTTAAAAGTGCCACAGATAATCAGTCTTACTCTAAAACCATAAAATATCTGTATGCCAGAAATATATAAATTGTGTAGTAGAACATACTTGTAATCTCAGCATGAGAGGCTGTGACAGGAGGATCTTAGGTCCAAGACCAGCCTAAGCTACATAGCAAAACCCTGTCGAGAGAGAGAGAGAGAGAGAGAGAGAGA